CTCTATAGAAATCTGGCAACCTATTGAACGGAGTTGAACTGAGAGAGCGTGCCGTTCACAGACACCACAATGAACGAGTTCACAATAACGTTCATCAGGCAATAACACAGTACGTTCAGTTCACGTTCGCCCAAAATATGAACGAGTTCATGAACTTTCGTTCAATGAACGCGTTCAGGCACAACACTGTCCCTACCTGATTCATACAAACTGGTCATTACGTGGCTCCTCTATAGTGTTTGAGAGGCTAATAGGTAAGGCTAAGGAGGTAATAGGTAATTTGATACAGAGGATCTGGAATAGGATACATTTAAAACCTAGAGGACATGGTCAATCTGTTAAGGACTGGAGGTGCCCACCTCTGTTTGGTAATGCATATTTTGAGAAATTTGTTGCCAAATTCGAAAGCAGCTTTTGTTCTCTCGTTTGTCATCATTAAAGTAAATACCACAAAATATATGTTGACTTTTTAAGAAATACCTGCTGTATTCCTTACCCAGCATTTGTAAAGTACATTCATATTAATTTAACCTTTTTTGAACCACGGAGAGCCAGAAAATAATTATTTTTACCTTTCCCCTTGATATAAAAGCTGTTTGTTATTTTAACCAGTCTGTTCTCAGCAACTCCCTCCCATTGTGCTGCTGAAGCACCGCTACATACCAGCTTGCACTTTGACACTGTTTAATTGTTTTGCGCTTAGCCTATTTTGCAAAAAGAGATCTGGTTCGGAGGTGTGAAAATAACCTTTTTATTTCAGACACCAACACATTTTTCATATTAGGGCATTTTAAGAAATAATTTGCCAAGAGTTATAAAGACAGTCATTTTCATTTCCATAGAAAATACAATGATTGGTCCTAGTAACAAATAGTGCTATTAAACAGAAATCATTGCACTGAAAATAACAGCTCCATCAGGGGTTGAATGATAATGTGCTTTGAAATGCATCATTTTCAAAGTAATTGCCTTTTTACTGGAGTTGGTCTGCCATTCAGATTGTGTCGTTATCCATCTAGAAATAAAAATGCAAGTAACCTGTGAGAATTATTTTTAATTTGCATTTGTTAAATGTGGCCAGTTGAAGGCAAAAATGTTTGCTCAGTTATCTGTCGTCTCACAAAGCTTGACAAATATCTTCCTGGAGGCACATATCTATCCAGTTATTTTACCCTACACGAGCACCATTCATCTCAGCCTCTACAAGCTGTCTTGAAGTCTGTTGTGTTTTCTCATAAAGGGCTGCAACCCAACAGTATCAGCAAGAGAGGCAGGAAAGGTCTCCGAGTATGTTGGTGTGTGTTTGGGTGTGTGTGTTTAAATGGCTGTGTCTTTCAAGCTGCGGTCTTTGGCTGTGACCCCAGTGTTAATCACTCTACAGCTCCAGCAACCACAGGCTCCATTGCCACTGCTGCTGTTACAGCCGTTTTCCTCTCCATCTAGGCTTCTCTCATTCATGATCTCTTTGCTAACTCTATTATTTGTTCCCTCCCTCCTCACACCCCATGCCTACACTATCTTTACCCTCCTCACTTCCCACTTAAACAATAAGGCTGAATTGTTCACCATTAGAAATACATTGTCATCTCTCTCAGACTATCACCTACTATAGGGCTCCTAAGCACGGAATTGTTACAATCTCAAATAAGGGACTCCCGGTCCTCCTTACTCTGAAACTATTTTCACCTATTTGAGTCTGCATTGTGTGTAATATCAGCTGGTTAAAACGGTTTAATTTTGATTCTATTCAATTCAATTGGTTCTTAAAGGTATAGTGTAGGATTTACGTGAATTTTTGAAAATACCTCTCCACTTTAAAAATAAATTCACACGCACAACCTTGTACCCTCTCCCGAGAGGGAATGTCTATTAAACGTGCGCGAGAGCATGCACAAGACCATTTCTCCAATGCACGCTCTGTTTAAAAGTTGCTGTTTATATGGCTCATAGAAGCTTACTTTCCAAAAGAAGATTTGCAATTTTTTCACTACGTAAGAGTCACTACCCATAAGTGAAAATCGGGACAAGCTCGTAGGATGGCCTAGCATTAACATATCACCAGAATGATTGACAAATAGGAGGGCCACTTATTTTGATGTTCCTCCTGGAAAAAGAACATCCTCCACTACACCTTTCACAATCATTTCTTATATTGAGTTGATAAATTGCCTGCTTCCATGCATATTAATTCAATACACATGTTGAGTAAATCAAACCTGTGTATTTTATAGAATATCATGTGTGAGGCTTACACAGAGTATTGTACAATTGTTATTAGGTGTCCGTAGCTATTACGTTATAGAAGTCATTTTTTGACAAAATTACATTCTGAAGACACTTTGTATGTAAGAACATGGGCTGAAACAATTAATCGAATTAATCATGATCAATCGATTATCGAAATAATCCTCAACTAATTTAGTAAACAAATAATCATTAACTGGTGTATATAGACTGTAAAACATGCCTTTAGCTGACAGAGCAACCCACTTAGAGCAGCAATTATACCGATATTGGAAAAAGAAATGTAAACATTTTGCAATTAAGAGAAAGGCCTTTTTCTTCTGTTAATATGCTCTCTTCAGAACTCCTAAAGGGGGAATGTTTCAGTTTCACCTGGTTTAATTTCTATTAAAAAAAGTCTTCTTTAAGGACTTTTTTGCTATCCGATTATCAATCGATTCATTGAAAAAATAATCGACAGATTAATCGATTTGCAAAATAATCGTTATTTGCAGCCCTAGTACGAACATGGGTGACAGTAAGCTGGAGCAGTCAGGTTCTGACCCCCAGACAAATATTTAGGGGCAGTATTTAGTACCGGGAAGACATGCTTCCTGCAATAAAGTCTTTTTTTTCTGCTCCAACTTCAGCACACAGTGATAGAGGTGTGTAGTTTCTCAGACACGCTCATTCAAAACATGTCTTGTGCGTGCTCAACTCTGACAACCTTGGCTCCATCAGCTATGTCACCATGCACTGGGTGCTTGACTGTCTCTGTGCTTGCAACTAAACTCTATACCTGAACAACACCAACAGCCAAGTGTAAAAAATGCTTTTGTCTAACTTTCAGGATTTTGTTTCTTCCAGCTTAGGATAGGCAATTCAAAACATTCTTCAAATCCTTCCAAAGGAATCCCTGTTACTCTATCCGGAATAAATATTTCATTGTTTTATGGTAGATCTCTGGATAGGGCCACACCAAAAGGCACATTTCCTTGACTAGTTCTCTCTAATATCCATTCATAAAGATTTCTATTTATTTTTATTTATCCAATTAAAAATTACATTTCCCTTGCACTATGATGAAAAGAAAACAAAAAACAAATAAAAAAGTTTTCCCAGGTTGGGATCAATAAAGATAATCTACCAATATTATCAATCAAGCAAATCCATCTATCTAGAAATTTTTTTTTAATTAATCAGTAATATTGGAGTGCTCTAAATGTATTTTGTTTTATGTACTTTTATTCTTGAACATTTAAAAATGAGAAGCTAAAGGCTCTAAATCTGAAGAACAAAAGTGTAATTTAGTTGTTATATAGAGGTTATATTGGTCTGCACACCACAAAAAAATTGAAACCTAGTCGGCCTCGGCAGATGGCCCCTCACACTGAGCCTGGTTTTGCTGGAGGTTTCTTCCTGTTAAAAGGGAGTTTTTCCTCTCCACTGTCGCCACAGGCCAGTTTAGTGTGAGGGACTTGCCTTATAGTCAATGAGTTGATGCAATCAACTGGTTTTCTTTAGATAGAAAACTTTGAATCAATTTGACTGTATGACCTGGAGAACTGTAAGGTGCCTTGAGATGACATGTGTTGTGAATTGGTGATATATAAATGAACTGAATTGAAATTGAAATTAAAATGTATGCAGGGATTTAGAATAAAATATGAGCACATTGGTTTGCTTTTACTTATATAGAATCAGCAATAATTTCAAACTCCTTTCATCCCTGTGTAGGCCTAAAAGCTCAGCTTTTTTCTCATCTCCCTGGAGCAAATTTTTAAAGACTAATTTTACTCTTGGAAATCCTTACACCTTCTATGAGCAATGAGTGATGTTGAGCTTTCAGTGTTGTGATTATCACGGCTGCCCCTTTTGTTGCTTGTGACGCCCTGGGAATCACTACAGTCAGGTGCGCAAACTTTTATGCAAACACACACACAAGCTGTGGGCATAAAAAAAGACGTAGAGTGTGAGTTACACACGTTGACAGGGCTTAATTATATATGTCTCTAATGAACTGTAATTACTGACATCCACCAGAGCATCAGGGTCTGTAAGCCAAGGACTTGCAGTCATTAGGCTGTGGTGTTACATTGTTTTAGCATCTCCAATGACTGACTGAGGTTTGTGTTCTTTAACAAATGTTTCTTTTTCTTACAGTTTGATGGTGAAAACATGTACATGAATGAAAACAACCACGAGTTCCTCCCACCTAACCATGTGAGTCTTAACTTCTTACATACTTTATACAAATGTCCTATTTTTGGCTAACCATTTGATAAAATCGAAAGCCCAAAGTAAGATGGGTATGATAGATTTTGAACAGTATTTGTATTTACTTTCTTTATCTTTAAGCTATCTTGATTCACCTTGAGAAATCTGGTGGGAATAGCATTTACTACATGACATTATTAGCATGGCATATTGCATGTAAAACATGTTACTTACTGTCATTTTATAGACTGAAATGAAGCCGGAAACTGCCAAAAATATTGTCTTTGAGATCACATTAGATTTTGAAGGATGTAATTTTTCAAAGGAAATAGACCTTTGTATGCTTTTTACTTGCTATATCATTGATTTTGAAATAAACAGAAAGATTTGAATAGAGCTTTCTAAGGAAAAAAACTTTCCTGGTAACATCCTACACTGAAAAAAATAATGCTACAACTTTTGGCATTTACTTAATCATATTTATTTTCTTTAACAAAAGCGTTTCACAATAGCAGGGTAGGACATAAAACAATTGTGTTAAAGTAACTAAATATGATTAAGTAAATGCCAAAAGCGGTTGCATAATTATTTTCAGTGTACTGTGAATACAGTAAGCCAAACTCCTCCACTATAACATATGAATTCCCATTTTTTTTTTGCTTTACAATTATCCTAGCACAGTTTTTTTTTTATTTGCATTTCAAGCCCACATGGAAATTGCTCTGGCCTCATTGCAGAAGATTTAGTGAGTTGGAATGAAGGGGAGATGCAACAGGACATGGCGACATTTCCAGAAATACTGTAGCACAGCTGGTCATGAACAGCTGGGCGACCATATGGTTGTGTTTGGACAGGAGGATTTGTGGAGTTTAGGAATAAGCCCATCTGACAAACACAAGAAAGCAAGAAATTTGTCCCTGTCAATTGCAGTTATTAAAAGCCAGTCTGTAAATCACAGTAGCTGTAGTTCTTTGCTGTTTTCTAAGCGTTTAGTTTGTCAAACAGCCCATTGTCAGATGCAACAATGCCTGGTTTTATAGCTTTAAATTTACCTGCATGCCTTTAACAACATTTGTTCATTATAAATGATTTTCAGTGGCAGTTTTCCAAGATTAACAACCACTCTGTAAAAATATGAAAAAAAAATCATCCTTTATTACCCTTTTTTTTTTTAATCTATCTAAATACCCGATTAAAGGTACAGTAGTTTTTCTTGCACAAAGTGTTGTATTTTCAGCACAGGATACTTTATCACTACGTCTGGCATTATAGAAGGACCAGTTGACAAAAAATGACATGCTAGAGTTTAAATGAGCAAGAAAGAAAAAAGTGGAAGAGTTACGAGTAGGAAAGGCTGTGATAAGAGAAGATTTTTGTTTTGCTTCGTGTTATACTTTGTTTACTCTAGATCTTCTCATTTTTGACATGTGCCTTGCTCTATTCTCTGCTTCACCAAGTTTAGCCTCTCGTTCCCTTTGACAGCTCAAATCAGGGAAGCCTTAAGGGTGGACACACAAACTCTGAAAATGAAATACAGAAAATACATAACAGCCACTGAACTCCTTGCTGCTACAATAAATTTACCAAAGAGATTTCAATTTAATGATCACGCACTATTCCGCTGTATTGTGTCCCTGAATTAATTGTGTAACTTCTCGAAAATAGCAAACAAGACAAACCGTGAAAAGGTGCTAATGTTGATGTGGTAAATTGGGTTAGGAAAGATTTTCATCTAACAATATTCCCAAACTGATAGGATGCTCTGTTTTAAAACAAAAAGAGTTTGATATAATGCTGAGGTCACCGCAGTTTTATGGTGAGCTATGAACTGGATTAGAAGTAAAACAACAAAAAATAAAAGAATAAAAGATAACGACTTCATCTTCAAAACATTATTCAAATGAGTTTGGGAGGAAATTGATGATAAAAAAATATTTATATATACTGTGGTCTTTGTCAGAGGTGTAAAAAGTATTAATTTTGAAACTACTTAAAATATAAAAGTAAAAGTAATGCAAGAAAAAATGTTAAGGACATATACTATACTGCATTAGTCTGTTAAAGGAACATTTCCATCTGTATACTTAATTTGATCAATTTCCCAGTGTAAAGCAGTATCAAATGTTACTTTACTGCATCATCTTGAAAAACTATTTATTTTAGTATGTGGTAAACAACAAATTCCAGAAAAAGAAATTGTCTGGATAAAACAAAATACTTTGATGGTTTTTAGTTTTTTTAAACACCAAAGGCCATCATGAAAATCAACTTTAATAAAGCATAACAAAGAGTTTATTTGGAAAATGTAAGGAATAGAAAGTATAGATAATTGCAAAATTTAAAGAATATAAGTAAAATGTTGTCTAAAAACTAATTACTCCAGTAAAGTATAGATTTCTGCTTCAGTAAGGTAACAAAGTATTTGTACTTAGACTTCACACCACTGGTCTTTGTAAATACTTTATTTAAAGAGAGAGCTTTTTTTAGTTACGGTACTTTTTACAATTGAGTCTTTTCCCATTTTTTATTTTTTTTTTATTCAGCACACTTTAGTTTTAAAACTCTTCCATGTCAGTATTGCAGGCAGGTCAATGTAACCATTTTACTGATTTAATTGGTTTATTATTGCCATAGATTAGACCTTTTAGATAACTGTATATCACAACAGGTTATGGTCTATATGCTGTGTGCTTGGTCAAAAAAACACATCAAAGAAGCATGGATCCGTTTACGGTCATATTTTTAGCAGGTTTTTGACATAAACTTTTATTTTGATGCAAGAGACAAACAGAGAAATGCTGCAGGGCAGATTTTTATTTCTAAGTGGATTTTTTGAAACAAATCCAAACAGTCGCCACATTATTCTCAATATTCGTTCTTGAATGAAAACAAATCATACTGCCTTAAGCTGACTTTTTATGCTCACTGCTTTAGTATCTCACTTTACGTTTTTATCTTTTTTTTCTGTGTCATTTTTGATTCCCACTCTTTGACTAATTCTTCTATATTTCCATTTCTTTCTCTTACTGTTCGTTGCATTTAAATGTATTTGGGTCAGTAGTTCTGCTCTGAAACTTTATGAAAGTGCTTTGCTGTCTCTTTCTTTAGTTTCTACATGTAATTGCTCTCTTTAATGTCGCTCAACTATTTTAAAACACTGTATATACATAAATTATATTCATATAGGTCATAAGGTTGGTGCTGTTGGGTAATTCTGCCAAAGACACCACATGAAATAGTTCTTATATCGTATGATCTGGTGATGAGTAACAAAAAAATGGGGTCAGTCTTTGTTATATCAACGTTCCCATGGGCATATTTTAATTCTCTACATTGTTTTTCCTTTTACACCCCCTCATCTTATTAAAGAGATAAAATGTTACTGATTCAATAATAAGATTTAGAACCCTCAACAAGCTCTTTGTCTGCCCCTGTGGCCCCTGACTTTCCAGCCAACGTGACATTGGTTTAGTAGCAATTTCTTCTCACCTGATTAAATTAAAATAAGATAAAGCAATGCCTTAATAGTCTATTCAACTGGTTCTTTTTGACAAACTTAAATATTTCAAATTAAAAAAATATACAAGACAAAGGTGATCTAAATAATTAAAGCTGATTTCATTGTTTCCATGCACACTTTATCACCAGACCAATCAACAAGCTAAAGTAGAACTAGTCCCTCTATTTAAAGCTGGCGAACATCTTAAATTGCAACACATCCTGCAGCAATCTAAAGAAATATATTAGAAGTGAATTCATTAAGATCCATCTGTCCAGAAAAGGTTAGAAAGCCATTCCTTAGGCTTTGAGACTGCGGTGAACCGCTGTAACAGCCATTAACGATAATAAGAGAAACAAGGAACAGTGTTGGACCTTTCCATTAGAGGCATTGATACATCATCTAGGAAGTCAGAAAAAAAAACATCACAGCCATGTCAGACCTTTCTCACCTCAGTTAGAGTAAGGATTACATTAGGCAAAAATATTCTGTGGAGTTACAGAATAACTGTGGGAAAACCAGGGTTCTAAATCTCTGCTCTTAAATCACACTGTTAGACTGGTTCTAGGATGGCCTTTGCAACCAAAGATAACCTGTGACCTTCGTGTTTGATGTCTTGAATGAGCATCTCACAGTGAGACAGGTGCAAAGGCCTACGTTGACTAATCAGTAAATATAAATGAAGTTTCCTGTTGAGATGCGCCACATAAAGAATCAGCAAAAAATATATGTAATATATAACGTGTTGGGAGGGCTACTGCAGATTTTTTTCTTGATCCACAGGAGAGCAGCATGTGCGCATGTATCCAGTAAGAAATCATAACAGTAACGATTATACTGTAGATGCAAACTGCTAATAGATGAGTGTAACTGTGTTTAAGGTAAACAGAAATATTCGTAAGATTACTTTATTATCGATTTTCCTACTATGTGATTTATAGCAGACAAATCTTAAACAAGATCTTACGGTTTTGGAGGCTCCACAGGTTCTGGACAGTGCTTCGGCGGACTTTAAGGCTATTTATGAAAGTACACTGGCCTATAATGGACTGAATTTATTTGATTGTGGTTTTGATGGTATTGATGGTTTTATCCTGTGGCTGATATTGTTAGTCTACTTCATACAAGTAGAATACCTGCACCCATAAACCAGCAGAGATGCCACAAAAAAACTTTCTCTAGATTACCATCTCAAGTTAGTATCCTAGTCTGGAGCTAAAGAAATAAAATAATTAGTTCAAGGTATCTGTCTGATATTTAAATCTGTTCTATTATCTAATATTTTACTTCACTATGAATTGCTGTTGCCAGATTTTAGGAAGAAGAGCACGCAGAAACACGATCAAAGATAATGCACTATGGAGATGCCTTCTCATACCTCCACGGCTCAGTAAAAGAAACTTCATCAGCACTTTACCTTGACAATGCTCTCTTTTGATGTCGTTCTCCCTGACTTATGAATTAATTTAGCAGAACTGCTGTTTGAGAGAAATGTGTCACAGGAAAA